TCCCTCTGCAGCTCTCTTAGAGCCCCTTCAGACACTGGAAGGGGCTCTGAGGTCTCCCTGAAGCCTTTTCTTCTCCAAACTGAACATCCCCAACTGATTTACACTTAATCTATCAGTTTTGGGGCCAGGAAACACCTTCCAATAGTTTCTGACACATTGTGATCACCAAGAGCATCTCCTTATTACTGTTATTTGCTTGACACACATGAGCTGGGCTCAGAGCCCACAGATCCCATGAGGAAAGTTAGCCATGATGATGAGCAATGCCTTATCCAAGGGATTTCATTCCTCAGGGGATACATGCTGAGTCTAACACCAGCTGAACATGTCTTGCAGATATTTGGCCCAGGGCAGTCCTCAGGGGCTGCTCAGCATCTGCCTCTCCAGCCCAGCAGCTGGGTGGCTCTTCCCCACCAGCAGGTGTTTGGGGTTGAATCTCTTAACCATGAAGAAGAAGTTGGCCCCAAGAAGAGGAGGTTGGTTACACAGATCCAGCAGCAAGGAGGTAGCAGCCACAACAACAGGAAAAAAACAACCTTAATTAGGAAAAAGTAGTGGTAGCTGCAGGGCTTTTTTCTTCCTTCACTTCCAGGCCCTGACTGCTGGAGGATCCTGTTAGCTCAATAAATATTGCTAATAATTGAGGCTCTGTTTGCTCACCACATCATTGTCTACTGCCAGGAGCATTTAGAGACATCCATGTAATTCCTAACTCAAAGCCACAGCATTAGCCTAGGGTATCAGTCCAGTGCTGAAGGATTCTGTGTGGGCTCACTGATTAATCAGGCACTGAAGTCATGCAGGGTGGGATGGCAGGAAAGCCTCTGACAACTAATTTAACAGGTTGCTGAATGCATGGCCCAAGAGCACCATCATTTAGTTGTGTTTCCTTATGCTGATGTGCTGTAAAATGTGCTTTTCCAAAGGGCAAGGAGCAGAGATCCCAAGCTGTCCCTTCCTCATCCAGGCAGCCCAGAGCTCTGGAGCATGGATAAATGCCTGTCCAAGGCTGTTTTAAAAACATTCAGCAAACCTGTGTTTTGACAGAAAATGAGGGTTTGATGAGGAGAAGCTTGTCATTGCTTTTTGGGGAAGTCTTCTCTGCAGTGAGGAGAGGAACAGTTCTCCATCTCAGGTCCTGGAGGCACTGTGAGGAACATGAGACCTTCTGTCTCACCTCCCATCCCAGAAGGTCTCAGTGCAATGTCCATTTGGGGATAATCTATCTGAACTTCCACCCCCTAAGCAGGTGCATGTCATAGAATCATGGAATCATTCAGGATGGAAAAGACCCCCAAGCTCATCGAGTCCAACCATTCTCTCAGCACTGCCATGTTCACCACTAACCATGTCCCAGAGAGCCACATCCACACATCTTTTTAACACCTCCAGGGATGGTGACTCCACCACTGTGGTGTCTCTCAGTGAAGAAACTTCCCTAAAATCCAACCTAAACCTTCCCTGGTGCATCTTGAGGCCATTTCCATCCAGCTTCCTACTCTTATGGGCTTGAGCCATCCTGGATCCCTTCTTCTTCATTTCAAGCTTTCCAGGCATGTATGAGTTAACTCCATTTGCTTTGCTGTCGGGAATAACCCCCCCTGCAACCCCAAACAACTTCCTATTTATATCCCTGGTTTAATCAGGAAGGCTAGTGCTTCCACAGCTCCCTGATTAAAAATTAGGAGACCGGATTCTGTAGTGGTGCCTTATAATAACAACCAATCCTGGGAGCACAGAGGATGAATAATGGATCATGGCTCCATGCTACCAGCTTCTTGCTTTGCCTTCTTTCTTCTTCTCCCCTTTTTATCTTTCATTCTTCTCTTCCTCCTCCTTATCCTCCTCTCCCAGGCTGGAGTTGGAGTGGGGAAGGAATACATCCATCCTTCCTTTTGCAGATGTTGGAGAGACATCACTGATTTCTGTTCATTAGAACCTCCTCCCCAACCAGATCCCCTGCTAGGGAGCCTGGAGACATCAATAATTCAGGGCTACATGGAGAACGGGGGGATGATAACCACTTACTTGGGAAGACATAACCAGTTCCCATCATCATTGCTGTAAGCAGCCCCTCAAGTCTGGCTGCTGATCCAATAGACAGAAACAGGAGCAAAACAGTGAAAAACAAGGATTTCTAGACAAGTCATTCCATGTTTGTCTGCCTCATACTGTCCCATGATGTCCCCTAGATGGACAGGGAAGGGACACATTGGACTGCTTTGAGATGGTGATTTTGCTGCAGGAATACTAGAAAAAAAAGTCAGGAATATCAACCATCCCACCATAAAAGTGTCTTCAATTAATTCCAGAATGCTCTTCAGAGAAAGGCTCGTGAGTTGGGTTTTTTCCTGCTCCACAAAATGAATTTTCAATATTTTACAAGCCGAGGTCAAATTCAATTAATAGCTTCAGTGAGGAGAAGAAAACTATTGAAAAATGCCAGATTTGTTTTTAAACAGTATAAACTCATCCAATGAAAGGGCCTTTCAAAGAGAAATTAAAATGAATCTCCCTTAACAGTTAAATAACACCAGAATGGAGCACAATTTTTCACCTCTCAGATGTCAGTGACAGACATTTCAACCAGCCCTAACCACACATTTTCACTTCTTTTTCTACTCTTGTAGCCTGAAAAAAAAAAAGTACATTTTGGATCCATGTAGAAAAGCTTTTTTCCCCCAGCCCTTGGGTTCCACCCACTGAGCTGAAAAATCCCATTACTCAGAGCGTTTGGCAGCTGTGTGTGTGCCCAGCGGTGTGTGCCGCCGGCACAGCTGCCCTGCCTGCAAATCCTGGGCTGGTGCAGGCAGCCACCTCTGGGTTGTCAGGAACATAATCCCTTTCCAGAGCTGGAGCAGCCAGTGAAGAGTTTTTAAACATTTCTCAGCCAACCCCAGCACAGGAGCAGGGACAGATTTGGGCATTTCAGACAGGGCTTTGGCCAACTTTGAGGTTGACGTCGCGCGGCTCAGCCTGGTGCCAGCTCAGGGAGGAGGAACAGCACTGACTTGGAACAAAACCAAGCCCAGTTTGGTGGAAAATTGGCAGGTTCCCCCAGCTGCCTCCCATCCACAAGGATGTGGAAGGTAGGAGGGTTTTGCCACTCACTTCTAAGCGAGGGTGTGAGGCAGCAATTTCTTCCTACATCCTTCGCTAGCACAAGCTCTTCTGCTGGGGCAAGAGGGGCTGCAGCAGGGATAACTTCCACTGTGTCCTTCA